TATTTAAAATTTTAATTGTCATCAAGAGTGCAAATAAAGTTCCCATAATTGGCTTAAAAGATGGGAACAGGATTTTTTATACAACAAAAAGAAATAAAACAGATAAGCCTGTCATTTAATACTTAATTACACTGTAGAACCAAAAAAGCGGTTTGAGGTCATTAGAGGAATATTTATTGAATGTTGGCATCTGAAGCAGTTTTAGAGGTAAGTCAAGTTTGCTCATTTGTGCAATATCCATTTATTGACTATGTCGAGGGCAAAAGGCATTCTGATCCAAAGTGGACTAAAACAACTACTGACCAGTCAAGCATCTCATTGGCTACTCCAATGGGACACTCGGTTAAAAAAAATGGAAATGATAAGAATTTTAAGCATAGACTTTCAGTTGAAACAATATTGGAAGGTATACTAAGGATGTTTGATAAAATGCTAGAATACAAGGGGCTCCCCCCCCCCCATAATTAATTTTTCCGATATATAGTTTACTACAAAAAAGCTGCTTTATGGATGTTCTCCCTTATTAATTACATGTGATGACAATTTTTTTTTGCTCTTCAATTGAAGACCCCCCGGGTAAAAAAAAAATTCTCATGAATGTTTTAAAGGTGCATAGACACAGATTTGAAGCTTATATTTTCTCAAATTTTCTGTATAATATCACACCTTATATGTTGCTATAGCATTTCACACGAAAATAAAATTAAAAACTTATTTAATCTGGAAACGATTGAAGCTACGAAATTTCGGGAGGTGTTTGATTAACACATCCTTGCACTTTCACAATTTTTAACTTTATCCTTAATACTTAAGAAAATAGCAATTTTGTTGTGTATTAATGAATAATATTACATCTATAATCCAGAAAATTCAGAGTAAAAATGTGCGAAAGCAAAACCCACTCATATAAGTATTGTCAGCCGTGCTCAGTGTTGCGTAGTTGTGTACAGCATTTAACTAATTGAATACACCCGTGAAACGTAAACTGTTTTTGTAAACAGGGCACGAGCTCTATTGTTGTTAATGTTTACGTTTCACCGGGTGTGTTCAATGGTTAAACTCTGCACACACCACTGAACACGGGCTGACAATACTGGTGAGAGGATTTTCCTTTCTACATTTCTACTCTGAAATTTCTGCATTATAGTTTTAATATTTTTCATTAATAAACAACAAAATTGCTACTTTTCTAAAGTAATAAAGATAAAGTTAAAATTTGTGAAAGTGCAAGGATGTGTCTATCAAACGCGTCCAGAAATTCGAAGTTTCAATAACTTCCAGACAAAATAAGATTTTTATCAAATTTTCGTATGAAATGCTATAGCAACATATAAGTCATGAAATTATACAGAAAATTTGAGTAAATATTAACTTCAAATCTGTGTCTTAGCACCTTTAATGCCGGCATTTAACAATATCTAATTCTAAATTTTTGTATATGGTTCTTAAGACATACTTAAGTCACCTCTACCGGCCGCCTAAGTCTTGCTTAAATCGTGAAATCTTAGCACGCTTCTAGTTATGGTCTTAAGCCTAAGAATGTACTCAAGTCCTACTTAAGCATAGTCTTAGACTTAAGTACCCTTTATGTTACGAGCCCCTGGCCGCTTTTCCCGTGCTGTACTCATGGGCGGATACAGGATTTGTGATTAGGGGGGGCGTGGATAACTGGGTCCAGGGCGAAGCCCTGGTGGGGGCCCGGGGGGCGAAGCCCCCGGAAGCTTCTGGGTTTTCGTGTATTTTAAGAGTAAAACCAGGCACAATAATAGGGGTATTGGTTAGTTTATATGTACCAAAGTTTGGCATTATTAATACTAGTCATATCATACTTTGAATAGAGGGGGCCCAGGGGGCGAAGCCCCCGGAAGCTCCTGGGTTTTCGTGTATTTTAAGAGTAAAACCAGGCACAAAATAGCGGTATTGGTTTGTTATATACCAAAGTATGGAATTATTGATATTAGTCATATCATACTTTGAAAATTTTAGGGGGGGCGTGCGCCCCCCACGCCCCCCCTTAAATCCGTCAGTGGTACTATCAGTGAATATGAATTTCATGTGACTATTCCCTGGTCCAAAACAATCGGCTCTGAAGTGTACTCACACATTGTCATTGTTTACTACGATACATATATGCTACAATACATGTTCTGTGATCGATGTACATGAGAATTAATACTGTGTAAAATAAATGCCGTGCAGCAATAAATTTATGTATTTTTTAATAAATGCATCAACTTTTACTTTCTAGTAAACAAATAATAAAGCAACAACGAATAACACCAGTAGCATGGCAAAATTACGAATATCAAGTTATAAAAACTGGATTCTTACTTACTTGTGAAGACTTTGTGAGCGGTATTTCAACGTACTATTTAACACGGAAAATTGACTGTTTGTTAATGTGAGCATGGGCAATCTTAATTAGTATCTAATTCTTCGTATTTTTCACAAAAAACATTAGAAATAATTATTTATAGACCATCATGCTTTTCGGCTCATTCATTGGATTGAACGACGGTTCGCTGTAAGCACCGTTGTGCGCAATGACAATAATATCCATATAAAGTAGATTCCAAGACCTGTTTAATAATTGCACTCTTTTCAACAAAAAAGTTGCTGGGATTCTGCCCCCTTAACCTTTTTCAAATGCACATTACTACGGTCAGACATTGCTGGAAACGTGAAAGGGAAATTCGAGTCCCATTTTGAATTTTTCTCCTTAATGTGAGAAGTCAAGATACTATCTATGTGTTATCCTCTCTGTGTTGCTAACAGTCTGGCTTATGTAAGGGGACTCAAAGGGGTTCAAATCTCACCATTACTTAGATACACACAGTAGTGAATATATATTGGGTAGATCTTCGACGGGCTTACTTATCCCTGCACTAAGTGTCTAATCATTGCACAATCTCTGTACTAACTGTATATATGTAATCCCAGCACTGTCTAATATAATCACTGCAATAATTGCACAATCTCTGCACTAAATGTATAATCCCTGCACTAACAGGCTAATCCTTTAACTAATTGTCTTCTGTCTTAATAATTCTATCACCAATACCCTGAATATGTCACATGTAAAATGTCTTGGGGAAAATGATGTACTCAATCGTCCTATTTATGTGTTATCCTCTGTGTGTTGCTAACAGTCTGGCTTACGTAAGGGGACTTGTGGGTTTGAATCCCAACACTACTAAGATACACACAGTAGTGAATATATTTGGTAGATCTCCCGTGGGCTTACTAATCCCTGCACTAATTGCACAATCTCTGCACTGAATGTATAATCCCTGCACTAAGTGTGTTATCAACACACGATTTGCATTTCATATGTAATTTCATTATAAAGTGTGTGGGAAGCTTTTACGTTCAAAACAGCATACTATGGATCATCTTCGCTAGCCAAGGGTTTCCGATCTAAAGTCTACTCTAAAACGCTGTAGAGTAGATTTCGGATCGGAAACCCTTGGCTAGCGAAGATGACTAGGGATGGGAAGTTCAAAAGGTAAAGTTACTATTCTTATACAAATGCGACATCCATTTATGACACATGAACGGCCAGAATTTACAAATCACTGCTCGAATAATATATTGTGTAATCCATGCAATAATTGTATTCTTTCCAGCACCAATTGTTTAATTCCAGGATTCCATAACTGTTGGGTTCAAAATTAACTTTCATTACCATGAGCAAACTTTAGCTAGTGGCGAACATTTACTAGCAAAATTGAGTATTCACTAGCAATTTTCAGAAATTATTCATTAATGGTAAATTCAAGCTCGAATCTAGTGTAATAAGTCAGTGTTTGTTTGTTTTTTGTTTTGTTTGTTTGTTTGTTTTTTTTTTTTGGGAGGGGGGGGGGGGGAGAAATAAGAATTTCAATGTCAAAGGCTAAATTGTGATTTCAAGAAAACCCCTGTCATATGAGAAGTAATTTCAAATATTTGTATTACTTTGACAAATAATTGTTATTAGTAACTCAAGAATATTTTAAGTATGAATTATCTTATATTATAGAAAATAGTGTATGAAATAGATATCATTGAGATGGTGGTCATCTCAAAGGGTCCCGCTTTCAGCAACGAACACGAAAATGTAAGGTAGCTAGGGTTTATTTTGAAGAGGAACATTTGTGTACTATTAAGGAATGTGTTGTTTGAGTCTAAAGGGCCTCTATGGCATCCTTGTTATAATAAAAAAAATGGCACGAAAATCACGAGTGCTCCATACCCTCTATCAAAAAAAAAAAAAAAAAAAAACCGGCACAAAAATCACGAATGTTGCATATCCTCTACCAAAATATGGAAGGAAAATCACAAGTCAAGGAAAATCCTTAGTCAATTGGTAAAGTTTGAAGCTGACTGGAATTAAGGGAAAGAAATTATGCACCGAACAAAAATATAAACAGAGAGGCTATTTTTGAACTTGATCTAGAATCTTCGTTCAAGGTCACTGCACATCCATTGAGCAGTGGCACTCTGTGAGTGAAGTATGAGCCACATTGGACCAAGAGGAGAGAAGATATTCTCCGGACAAGGATTTTTCATAGAATTCTGCTATGACCTTAACCTTAGACCTAGAAACATGGTTCAAGATCACTGCACACCCTTTAACCAAGACACTCTGTGGGAGAAGTATGAGCCAGATTGGGCCAAGGAGAGAGAAGATATGCTCCGGACAAGAGATCTCGGACGGAGAGACTGTTTACTAAAGGGCGCCCGCAGAGCGGGGTCCTAATTATCTAATAAACGAATCCAAAATGTCTGACCAACAAATTAGTGAAAAATATGAAGATAGTAAGATTTTCTTTGGGAAAACTTCCAAGATATCTCGAAAAATACAGGCTTATTAAATTGGGACTGCTGTCAAATTTCAGCAGTTATTCAATTACTTTTAATTGGAAAGTTAAAAACATCAAACTGGAACTTAAAATATCAACCATTTCACAGAAGTTAATAAGATTGATACCATTGAAAAGAGCTAGAAAATTTGCACTTACATGGACGCCATTTTCTTATATTTTTGACGTATAACTCAAAAAATGACGTCAGAATCTCGCATGTTTAGCATACTGAAAAGTCGCGTTTTTTGTCCACATGAGAACATCGAAAAAGTGCTGTTATAGGCTTCTTTGAAAAGATGTTTAAAAAAAAATTGCCTGGAAGTAGAGAAAGACTGTCAGACTGGAACGGTAAATCAGCAATTCCATATTTTTTTTGCTTTGTTAATAAGCACAGTAATGTTATCTTGGGCGTTCATAAAAGATTTTTATTTATATGATATAGCTGGATTTTTTGGTCTATTATATAGCTCTCTACTGTATTACACGAAACATATTCTGTATAAACTGAAGTGTATTAATGCAGTTTTCCACAAATGTATCTTTAGTATCAGGACTCTTACCGTTTACGAATATTAAACGTACAAAAGTCTTCCCCCAGACACCTTTTTGTGCGTATTTTTTCATATTATTTCAACTTCGGCAATCCAAAACTCACTATTGCTTTTCACTTTCGACTTTTAAAAAAAATAAGACTGAGTCTCATTGCCATTCACAATCTTATTTATTTTCCAGGATTTAAAATTTTTGAACATATCGAGTTACGGTGGGGTTAGTACTACCTACACCGGCGCCGTTTTTGGTTTTACGAGAAAATATGGGACATCCTTAGCTTAACCTCTCTTTAGCTTTAATCCTTCCCACAAAATTGGTTAAAACACCTGACGAATTAATGCAAGCAAATTCTGTAACACCGTCCACTATTCTCCTGTGATTGTAAACTTTGTGTTTTTCTCACAGCAGCGTCTTTTTTACCCAATATTGTGCGCGATATTCGATAATAACATGCTATGTTTGACACACTCTTAAACCACCTCAGAACTACACAGTATTGTGCCATTAGTGATCATCCAAATTTAATTTTCATTACGTCACCTTAAATTTTCACAAGACTTCGTCGACCTGTATGTTTTAACCATGGCGTCAATGTTGATTAAATTAGTATACATTTATAGCATATCCACGTGACTGTCACGTGTCACAATTACGTAGCAAAAATTATTTTCGTCTGCTGTGTATTTCCAATGTAAACAAAATGGCTACCGTGCGCAAAGAATTAAGTACTGATGTGAAAGAAGTTGAGTACTGATGTGAAAGAAATTATTGTTTCTCTGTACCTGTCGGGATTAAAGCATTTGGAAATAGCAAGGAAATTACTAATACCCCGGTCTACAATAACATCTGCGGTTGACCGGTATCGAAAGCGGGGAAGTGTATAGAAAACATTCCGAGGAAAGGGAAGCAGGCAAAGTTAAATCACTGGGTGAAATAAGCAGTTTCCCATCATTGGAAACCATACGGAAACCACATGGAAACTTCAAGTTTACATCATGTTTCCCAGTGGTTTCCGCAGCGGATGCCAGGTTATTCCGTCAAGTTTCCGTGGCACGGAAACTACAACGCTCCGATTCCATTAGGTATCCCGAACCACGGAAACCTCGGGAAACCTGAAGTTTCCCAAGCCTCCATGTAGTTTCCCGTAATGGGAAACCTGAAGATTCCACTGGTTTCCATAATTAGGAAACTACGTGGAATCGGAGCGTAGTGGTTTCCATGGAATTGGGAAACTGGATGGAATCCTCAGGTTTCCCATGAATGGAAACTAGAGGAAACCATGATTCCTCAAATTTCAATGACTCAGGAAACTACATGGAATTGGAGCGTAGCGGTTTCCGTGTTATGGAAACTTGGTGGAATTATCTGGTGTTCCATAAAAGGAAATTACAGGGAAACTTCAAGATTCCCTTATTTTTCTGAGACGGGAAGCAATGTGGAATTGAGGTGTAATAGTTTCCATACCATGGAAACTACAGGGTAGGTTGAGCATTTCAATTTTGGGAAATAATTGACAGGCAACTGGAAGTTCAAGGATCCCTGTATTTTCCATGGTAAATCTTTCTTTTCTAGAATGTGAAAAGAGAACAGCAGTTTTAAATCAAAATATATATTATTAATTTCCTTGGTAAACTGTGTTTTCTTTTCAAAATCTATTAAAAAATGTATAAAGAAGAAAAAGCATTATCAAATCATATGTTTAATAATTCATTTGACGTACAAAAACATTATTTTAAAATTATATCAAAATAAATAAAATCATATATCTTAGGTAAACAATGTAGTAGTCTTTCACATCTAAGTCCATTCATAAACTTGATTAAATACTCAGTACTTCTTTCAACATTAGCTTCCCTTGTATTTTCTTCACATCATCTGCGATCTGCAATATATTTTAATAAAAAATTATTTTTTGTAAGAATTGTATGCTTGAATATTATTTAGAAATCTGACAAGATCACTCAATGTCCTTTAATGTACCAATATCAGTGATTAGTTTCAGTCTTTAAAGAACTGCGAACGACAGCATTGTTCTCCCGCCTACCTCCAAGTCGATTTCCAAAAGTTAACATATTTGGATGATTTTTCATATTTATATAAATATTTATATGAATTTTCATGAAACATTACTTCTTTGGGAAAACAAAGAGAGATAACTCTATAATTTGGGTAAAACTTGTGTTTTTCACTATAGAAATCAACGGAAAACGGAAAATATTTTTAAAACATCTTTCCCCCCCGTGAAACAAAAATTCCTTTTTACAGGTAATATGGACTGTCATTTTACAAATTCATACCAAAGCTTTTTGTGTTTCACGGGGGGGAAAAATATGTTTACAGACAAAAAACTACAATAATGCTTATTTTTCACCAATTTCAAAGGGTTTTACAACTAAAGTATTGTATTTTTTTAAATAATATATGTTTAATTTTATATGCGTAAAACATAAGAAAAGATTTTAGGAACATTTATTCATATCCAAGAATATTTTAAAATGTGTTGATGCTTTAAAGCCCGATTTCAATGGAAAATATCGTCTACCCCCCTTATTTTAAGAGCTGGAATTAGGAATAATTAACTATTTAATACTGGCATTAAAATTATCAGTCAATTACCATTGAACTGTTCTTTATATTCAACAAGGATTTTACGGTCAAATTGCCATAAGTATTGAATTAAATGGGTGTAAAATGTAGGCGGGAATCGAAAGTTAGCGTGCGTAGTTCTTTAATGACCATGAAATCAGAATAATGAACATTACATAGTACATGCAATGTTTTAAGTCAGATAAATATCAAAGCAGGTATGATTGAGAGTATGACTATCTCATAGAACACTTCTTTTAGTTGAGTCAATTGGAGAGAAATGTGCTCTGGACAAGGATATTACAATTTTTTTTTTCTTATTAAATGACATTAGACCTAGAAATTTGGTTAAAGATCACTACACACCCTTCATCCCATGACACACAATCCAGATCATACCAAGGGAGAAAAATCATGCTCTGGACAAGGACTTTAAATAAAGATATATAGTGTATTTTGATACTGACCTTTGACCTAGATAATTGGTCCAAGGTCACTTTTTACCCTCCATCCACAGGCACTCTACGAGTTAAATTTGAGTGAGATTGGGCTATGAGGAGAGAAAATATACTCAGGACAAGTGATATCAGATGGACAGACAGATCATCCCATGGCATCCACAGAACAGGACCCTAAAAAATCAATGCATATATATGTAAAGCTATATCCATATAAGTCAATATGAATTCATCATATGTTGCATTGCATACACATGCTTTAATCATGTTTAATACCTATGAATAATTTCAAATTGCATGTACACTCAGTTTACATACAAATAATCTAAATTTCATCAAAGACGACCAACATAACAGCCATTCAAGATTTAGTTCATCAACATTCAGTACAAGTTCTATATGCTATACCATATGTACAGACACATACTAGTATTATTTACCTGCATTCTAAATCTTGTTTTATGTCACTGAAAATTAAGGCGATAGCCATTAACCAATTTTAGCCCCAATTTACATACATGCATGTTGTAATGTTTGTTTAAGACTGCCCATTTATAAATATTACCTTATAGTATATTTAGTTAACATATACCTACATTTAAAGCTTCAATGTGTTTCACTGACTATTTTAGAAATTACAGTCATCAAAATACTGACCAGCCAGAAATCAGTAAATGTGCATGTCCTTATTTTTCATTCTTGTATTGTTTCATTTAACATGTTTCAATGTTAAAAAGTTTTAGTAAGTTATAATATTTATTACTTTATCATAGCCATACAGTTGAACTTTGGCATCTCGAACACAGACATCTCAAATACAATAGATACATGTATGTTGAAGTAATTTGGAAGTACTCTTTAAGCATTTTACTCCTGATATCTTGAATCCTCAAATATCTCAAAATATTTTCAATGATTGAATTGAACTTTGAACCATGGCAATAGGACTCAAACAAATATTCATTATTCTTGAAATAAAGTCTACAGGTTACAAAACTATAAGTTGCTCAACATTGATCATATCAATAATATTTAAGAGAGTTGATCATTTCCCCTTTGGGTGAAGGGGGGGGGGGGGGAGGTGGGCTTCCTCTGTACAATTTAGAATATCTTTTACTTTGTGTCAACCTTGGTTAAAATTAGTGGTTCTTGGGAAGAAGTTAAAGATGTGAAAAGCTCACAGATGGATAGACAGTTTGATGGACAAAACACAAAACAAAAGGTGATCAGAAAAGTTCACATGAGTTTTTAGCTCGGGTGAACTAAATTCCTCACTGCAAGGTGTATATTATGCGAGATATCATCCAGACAGAAAATTTTATAGAGAAAAAGAAGACTCCAAGCCATAATTTTACATAATCTCTTGTAGTTTGCAATTGGTATTTCAACATTCCAATTAAACTCAAGTTCTTTTCTTTACATGCAATTGTTATACATGCCTACCGGGTATTTATGATTGAATTAATTACCACTTACCACATGATCACATCTTGATTCATCATACATCTTACTGGTTCTCCTTTAATGTCAGTTTTCTTCTCTCTGAAAGAATATATTATGTACAATTACTATTGCATTCTGATTTCACCTATAAGACCAACAATAAACAAGTGTCCCAGGGGCCACATTGCTCACCTAAGCACTTTGGGTAGGAAAAAATATAAATCAGTTCATTATTGAAAAGTTTAAATATAAAAGTGGTTTGGAGGGGGGGGGGGATTCTACACTTTCTAAGGATGCTTTTGAATTAACATGACACATATTAGCATTGCTGTTCTTAAGAAGAAAATCCTCTTTATTCCTCTGTATAACTATGATCCCCTGTTATGGCCCCTCTATTCTCCTGGGGGGGGGGGGTCATGATTTAAATAAATTATATCTACATTACTTCATCACCCGTGTATATAAATAAGACCAATCAATTTGTTGTTCCTGAAAAGAAGAATTTCTAAGATTTTTCCTATATACTTCGATCGTTCATTGTGGCCCCGTCCTACCCCGGAGGTCATGATTTGAACAAACTTAAATTTATACTAGCTGAGGATGTTTCAACGTAAGTGTCATCTTTCCTGATACAGTGGTTCTAGTGAAGAAGATTTTAAAAGATTTTTTCCTATGTATTCCTATGTAAAATTGATCATCCATTATGGCCCCGCCCTACACTGGGGGTCATGATTTGAAAAAATTTGAATTTACACTACCTGAGGATGCTTCTCTTTCATTGGAATCTTCCATTGCCCTATGGTTCCAGAAAAGAAGATTTTTAAATGATGCCATGAATTTTTCATTTAATTGTAATTATTTCTCTTTAGAAGAAGATATGGCCCTTTATTTGAACAAACTTGAATCCCCCTTACCCAAGGATACTTTATAGCAAGTTTGGTTGAAATTGGCCCAGTGGTTCTTGAGAAGATTGAAATGTGAAAAAAATACGAAAACGACGGCGACAGACAAATTTCGATCAGAAAAGTGCACTTGAGCCTTTGGGTCAGTGTGCTAAAAATGATTTGTTTGATGTACTCCGAATAACCCATCAAAATCACACCTACCCAATCATTTTTTTAAGTATTGAAATTTTATTTCAATTTTTTTTTTTTTTTTTTTTTTTTGGTTTCATTGAAATAAATTTTGTTTCATTATAAAGTTGAGGTTTATTATTTCTCCAAGACACTTGTTTTATGCAGAAATAAATATTAAATCTGTCTAGCTGTCCAGTGTACATAATGAAACATCAATAAATTTCTAATTCTGTGTTTTTGTATGACAAAAATCAATTTGTTAGATACTGCCAAAAAAATCTACCTACCTACCTACTCATTTTGCAAAATGTGGGTCGGAGTACATCAAACAAAAGTATTTTTAATAATGGCCTAGACTTCAACAACTACCAGGGAGGGAAAAAAAATAAACAGACAAAAATTTCAATCAAATGCGGATTCACTTATTTTTATCATTATGCTTCTACGATGTTGTGACCGCCATCAATAACTGATGATTGTAATTTAGATGATTCATTTGCATTACTTGAAATACTATCAAAAATTATCAATATTTGTACATCATGTAGGCTTATTCAATTGTTTTTAACATTTTCAGTAAATCTCTCAGCAGGTCACACATGAGAAATTTTGTCTTTTGAACAGTAAACTGTTTCAATTTACAATCTATCACTTGTTTGTTAAACAGTTACTATATTATTATAGACAGTGCACTTTAAAACCAATACATTTTCCCTATACAAATCATCACTATGCATATCAATAAGGGTTGTGCTATGGCTTTGTAAGATGTATATGTACTCTAGTTACACACAATCTATTTAAATTGTTCTTATGATTCTTCATAATTTGTAATTATATCTGCCACATAAAGGCGTTTTATCTGTGTCGAATTACAATAGTCAGAACTCTCTCTTTCAGCTGTCTTTTAAATTTCCATTGATGATGATGTCCTTCGTGAATAATCTGATAAGTTGAGATCGCGGACACCTTTTGTTTAAATATTAATGACTTAATCGTAATTTAGTAGCAGAAATAATTCATTTATACCTTGTCGTTACATCATAAAAAGTTCCAAAAGTCTAACAAGTGCAAGTTCATGAAGTTGACGATCCGAGAACACATGTATTCAAACCGGATATATGTTTTGTCTGTATTAAGAAGGAAACCATATTCGGTAAAAACATTATTATCCGATTTAACAACAAAAAAAAATCATATACTTTTCATTTATATACATAGAGAGAGAACTATTACAGTAAGCATTCATTTTCACTAAAAAAAAAATAATAATCTAAAATGCAAAACGTACAGCATGGAAAAAGACAAATGTGGTGCCATAGGGTCTAGCTATACAAAGTCTACTATCTATGCATCTTTGATCGTAAAACACTAAATATTGTGTAATTCAAATTTCTCTTTTCGTTTTTGCAATGTGTAAACTAAAATATTTAAAACTTATATATCAAACATTTCAAAATGGCGTCAAAACGAATGTGGTCTTCGATGGGAAAGATTTGTTCTGCCCATTATTACTAATTATTATTTACCGTAAAAAAGTATATAGGGTGAATTCACCATGCATCGGACACCCTTGCACTTCAACAAGTTCTAGTGATATCGCTACCGACCGAATATTATCAAAATGGAACTTAACATGTAGTATGTGGTTAAAATATAAATTTTTGACACAATCGTGCCCTATTTATTGAGAAAATATCATTAAAAACCGATTTTTTCGAAATAAGTCAGAATTTACCAAGGATCGGACAATATTCACCATGCATCGGACATACGATATTTGAACCAGAAAAATATCATACCTTGATCTTGGTGCTTTAAAATTAGTGATATTGAAAGATTTTTATCTTTTATTTAAAAATTAACCTTCTAATTAAATTTGAATGACTATTTCGATCCTCAAATATGAAGAGTTTTTAGTTGCATCAAATCGCCTTAGAAAGGCTTTACAATGCTAGTATAATATGACAACTTTCGCCTTTGTCTCGTGGGTTATAATCATCTAGTTTAAACAAATAAATTGAGTCCACTTCTAGTCATCATATATCGATAATTTGTATTTTCACTGAAAATTTAGAGTTTCTATTTTCTATTTCCGTAAAAAACAGCTGTCATTTGGGTTTTACATGAAAATGGAAGTGATTACCCCTGCATCGGAAAGTGTCCGATGCATGGTTAATTTGTGTCCGATGTACGGTGAAATAAACATACTAGTTAAAAACAACTCTAAAATATATAATACAAACATTGAAGTAAAATTTTTGAAAAATTTCTGTAATATTATCAATCATTGGCAAATTTTACCAAGGTCCGACCCATTCCGTTGACGTCTATTTAAAAGAACGACAACTCTAAAAATTGCAAAATCGTAAAATTCTGGTTACTCCCCTTTGATGATGCAAAATATGACGTAATTTCAAGGCCATTCTTGTGGTATTTTTATCACAACATGAAAATAAAAATCGACATCATTAAAATGTTTAATTCTTCATCTTTAAGACAGAAACAAGTAAAAACATGGGGAGACTCAGGTTCAATGAAAGTTTATTGTTTGAAGTTGTCCGAAGCAAGGTATGTGTCCGATGCATGGTTAACTCACCCTAAAAATATACGTACACTACTAACCAATATTCTGATATTTTGTCTCAGAACATGAAACAATTATTTGGAAAAATAAGTTTTCTTAATCCTTGGTTGTTGATCATTGCATTTTTCACAGTTTTAAAGACACTGGGTGGCGAAAACATCATTAACTTTTCACATTTGCACCTTACACCCGAGTTCTTCTCCGTCTTGCTCAACTCCAAAAATGGCGCCTCGTGAAAATTGACCAATGAATAAAGCCTCTGCAGAGCGATGCATTATGGGAAACAGAACAGGGTAAAGTTTTTATATATAATATAATTTCCCTGTGACGGTGATTATGAGTTCTTATATCCTTAATGAAGTTCTTCTCTGTTCATAGAAAGGGGGGTGCTCCTCAATAAATTTGCTGATAATTAGTATACTATAGAAAACGAAGCGTTTATCTGAGGGTGACCAGAGAAAGTTTATGTGTCTGGTGTGACCCCTCAAATTATATGACTTGGGGGTGGGGCGGGGGCTTGGAACGTAGTGCCCATCCAAACAGAAAATGTCCGCTTGCCCTCTCCCCTCCCACACTACTTTTTCATTAAATTATTCATTATTCTGATTAATGTATAATGTCACAACGGAAGATGTTAAACCTTAATACATGTATACATGTTTTAAAATTGGAAGTTTCAACAGGAACCCTTGAAGGAACTACCGTCAGAAAATGAATAATTGTTGAGGACCGTAGAAAATTGGGGGGGGGGGCATTGTGGACGTGCCATACGTCCCTAATCATATTTTTGCAGTAAAGGAAACAAAGCTTATTTCCTGTTGCGACCCTCAAAATAAACATATGGTGACTCTTTATCTGCTGTTTATTATTTTGTGACAAGAACGTTGTTGTCCTTCGAAGTCTGCCGTAAATTTCGATGGACATTTGGCATGCAAATGAACTATATGACATGTATCCAGAACAATATTTACCGTTCACGGTAGCTCAGTCGGTAGAGCGCTCGCTCCGTGATCGGGAGGTCGTGAGTTCGAATCTCGGCCGCGACAGACCTAAGTCGATAAAAAATAGGTAGCAACTGTTCCTTCGCCATGCGCTCGGCACTTTAGAGTGAAAGTTGCGGGTCTTTCGGATGAGACCTTAAAAACCGAGGCCCCGTGTCACGGCAGGCGTTGGCACGATAAAGATCCCTCACTGCTCAATGGCCCTGAGTGCCGAGTAAAGGTCAAAATTTGAAGCCCTTCACCGGTATATGGTGACGTCTCTATATGAGTGAAAAATTCTCGAATGGGACGTAAAACAATATACAATCAATCAATCAGAACAATATTTATTTTTAGTGATGATGGAAAAGTTCGGCGTCAAAAATTGCTGTTTAGTAAAAGGAATAAGGGTATGATAGACTAGTATATACTTGTGAAAATCAAGGCAAAATAATTACCGCCAAGGACGGTTCAAGAATAATAAAGATTTGATTTTTTTCGCTTGTTTGGCTTTAGATACTTTACTGAACCCCTTCCTTTTTTGGTTTCGATTTTGAGCCTCACTCAGTTATCAATTATAAGAATCAGTGGACAAATTGCTGGACTTTTTCCTTTTTGCTATATTTTACTTGAAACATCTTTGCCTTTAGTTAAAAAAATTCTCACACCGTTTTAATGTATCAGAATTTTTCACATTTAATTTGAAAATTGATTTATAAAAAAAGGAGAGTAAACACAAGGTGAAAAAAAACCCCGAACCAATATCTAAGCAAAGGTAGGGAAAACGTACAGTATTTTAATTTGAAAAACACCGGCCCGTAGAATGCGAAGAGGGGGGGCAAGGGTGAAATTAAATGATTTTTTTGGGCTTGTCAGATTTTTTTGGAAGTCCCCCCCCATTTTGAAACTGTTGTTACAGACATGAAACACATGATAAAAATAAGCCCAGAATTATTGTAGGTACTAGTAACCTACAATCATGTCCATTGCATTCAGAATTTTAGTTGTGACTGGTAACAATTTGTCAATATTTGATCATCTGATTTGTTGGACAATAATGCCCGGTGTTTACTCGTTGATGTGCAGGGCTGTATAAACATGTATACAGTACCCGCATCGTTATTCTTTACAATTCTATCGTGTCCTATCGTGCGTGTATCCTATCGTATCGTGCGTGTATCCTATCGTATCGTGTTTTTCCGTTTATCAGGTTTTGCGTTTTCTATCGTGTTTTCCGTTTATCAGGTTTTGCGTTTATCTTGAAGATCGTTTATCAGGTTCTATCGTGTATCGTGTTTTGCGTTTATCGTGTGCATTTGGAAACCCTCGTTTATTGTTCGAAAATTCTATTCATCGAAGAATATGGTAAATACAATGTACAATGTAATTCTTGGCAGAAAAATACGATCTTTGCCTCGCACGATTTTTATTTATTTTTTTTTTTTGGTTATTAAAGGCGCCTCAAAGATACATGTAAAAAGAAATAGCCCGGATCTGCCGTGATACACAAGACGAGTAAATACCTTGAATTTAATTTTATTAGTTTATCGATTGCATTAAATACTTCACTATATTCAAGAAGTCAATATATATTTTGATTTATTTATTTATTGCTGTTTGAATTGGATCTCTTTTGAGTGGTTATGCCCCCCCTCCCCCTTTCCCCGCTGACTGTGCCTCAACTGGGAATAAGATATTCATAATTTACAAAGTTTTGTCTAATTTTGCCGAAGTTGTCCTATATAAGTTTTGTAACAATTAATACAAAGTCTAATGGCAATAATTTACAATTATTCAGTTCGAAAATCCAATTGTCGTATTGTGAAAATTAATTTCTAATTCATTTGTGTGTGCGTTCTAATATGCTGTAAACAAGAGTATGTAATCATTCAATGGTATTTATTTGATACAAAGTTTAAGTACCCAATAAATATATTCACACACATTGTAAGCTTACAATGTAGCATACACGTGTCTATAGTAGATACAAATTCTTGGTTGACATTACACTCTGTTATCCTTTCTTCATGCATGTAATATTTTCTGTTTAATATATTGTACATATCTTCTCTTCACTGTTTTGTCAGTTATGATAATAAAGTTCATATCACGTTATTGTAAATGTTTATAACACAGGCATGCTTAGAAAATAACGTCATTTCTTGGGGGGGGGGGGGGGGGGTATAAAAAGCAAACAAAAGAGGTTAAAGACATTATTGTTGTTGATGGGCATAATTATTTAAGCATTATGTTTCTATTGTATACTACACATGTTGGTACACTGTAAAATTTTTAGGTATACGTCTGCATGCTCCCTTCTTAATCTTACAGGTCTATAGCATTAGAAATACCAGAGAATAAATACAAAAGAATGGAAATGCGATATGATGCGGATACTACATGTAGATGATGACAGATCTAGTGACCTTTCTTAATTTTATTGAATTCAATTTCTTTCGGTCGGCCTCCTTCCTCATATATACATATACAATGTATGTACTTGGAATATGTAAATAATTTCTATGGGATACGGGAT